ATTTCGTGCACCGGGCCTCTAGTTGTACTTAATAAAAACCTAAAGATTTACAAAGACCACATAAATAATTATCTCCATTTTAAGTATTCTGGAAACTCTATGAAAATGAAGATATAATCTTTTTTATCAGTTCACCCTAGTTCTAGTCATTTTCTTCTCTGCCTCATCTTATGTAATCACTTTGCCAACAAGACCAAGATTGCTTCTGTTTTATGCATTCCCACCTTCCTACATTTTTACAGCTGTCAACGAAATTACTTCCACTTCTAAAAACTCCAGAATAGAGTTATGATTATTTAACTTAGCCCTCCCTCCACTCCCCCACCAAAATAAACACTGAAGAATAAATATTTCTTTGCAACTTCTGAAGTTGCTCCCCATTTATAATTGAATTCAGAATAAATCTTGGCCAAAGCATACCAGAAAATTAGAGCAAAGTCATTTTCAAATGAAATTAATTTTAAATGACACTTTCGAGCATATTAAGGATTAAGTTCTTTCAAGTGAAATAACTCCAGGAGTGCGTGGATAAAGTTTAGCCAAACACTACACTATGACTCAGGATAAAAAATTAATTAGACATAGTCCCTAACTGAGAAACTTACAGACCAGGATATTACATAATACGTATAGAAACATAAAGGTATAATGTGTAAACACAATGTATAGATAGCGAGCAAAATTATTTAAATTTACATATATACTTTAGAGTTAGAAAGTATACATTTCAACACAAAATTGGTTCCAAGTTCAAAAACTGAAGTTAATCGTTCTCCCATATTGTGTGATCAAATCACTGAGGCACACTTTGAACTTGGTACGCTCCTTCTGACTCTGTACGCAAGTGATAGCCCATTTTTATTGTATACAGACAATTTGGAGAAGAAAAATTCGTTATGACAACCATCTCTACTCCACCCAGATTTCCTTTTCTGTATATCAAATATGTAATGGGCACAATTATTCAATTATGTCTATACCAATGAATTTTCAATGTGCATTAATCATTTAGATGTTGAGTTGGTCAAAAAAGGGGGGAACCCTATATTTTTGAATGGAGAGAGTGAACTTTTCAACTGCAACACCCATTTCATGATCTATAAAAGGGTAGCCTTTGTGCCTGGCTGCCACTGCTTCCTCTCGGGTTCTGGCCACCTTCCCCAGGCTGTGGCTCTCTCCAGCACCATGTCACTCTTAGTGCAGTACTCTGAGCTGCGTAGGCAGCTGTCTTCCCGGGGGACCCTATATTTTTGAATGGAGAGAGTGAACTTTTCAACTGCAACACCCATTTCATGATCTATAAAAGGGTAGCCTTTGTGCCTGGCTGCCACTGCTTCCTCTCGGGTTCTGGCCACCTTCCCCAGGCTGTGGCTCTCTCCAGCACCATGTCACTCTTAGTGCAGTACTCTGAGCTGCGTAGGCAGCTGTCTTCCCAGAGTGGGACACTGGGCAGAGCCAGGGGCATGTCTGCCTCCAGTGTTGGAAGTGGCTATGGGGGAAGCGGCCTTGGCTTTGGAGGCGGCTATGGGGGAGGTTTTTCTGCTGCGTCCATGTTTGGTTCTAGTTCAGGCTTTGGTGGTGGCTCTGGAAGTTCCTGCGCAGGAGTGCTGGGCACTGCTTATGGAGGAGGCCTGGGGATTGGATTTGGAGGAAGCCCAGGAGGGGGCTCTCTATGTATTCTCTCTGGCAATGATGGAGGCCTTCTTTCTGGATCAGAAAAGGAAACCATGCAAAATCTTAATGACAGATTGGCTTCCTACCTAGATAAGGTTCGAGCTCTAGAAGAGGCTAATACTGAGCTAGAAAACAAAATTCATGTGTGGTATGAAACACGAGGATCTGGGACTGAAGATCCTGGGTCACAGAATGATTACAGTAAATATTATCCACTGATTGAAGACCTCAGGAATAAGGTAACAATATGGTTTTTGGAGGGGCTTTGGGAATTATGTTGGTTTGTTGTTGTTGTTGTTGTTTGTGTTTTATTTTTTTCTAGGTTTGTTCGGTTTTTTTTGTGGTTTTTTTTTTTTTTTTGCTATTACAGTGTTTTAACAGTGATAATTTTTTCAATTCCACTATACTTGAAGAAATTTCTCATACTGAAATATTTAGTTTCATTTTACCATTTACCATAAAGGGACTCTATTTCCACTTTCTGTAGGAAATGTATGTTCCTTAACTTTTAAAATATTCCATCAATATATATTCTTTTAAAAATTTAATTGCTCAGTGGTTGAGCATCGGCCTATGAACCAGGAGGTCACGGTTTGATTCCCGGTCAGGGCACATGTCTGGGTTGTGGGCTCAGTCCTGAGTGTGGGGCACGCAGGAGGCAGCTGATCAATGATTCTCTTGATGTTTCTTTCTCTCTCTTCCTCTTCCTCTCTGAAATCAATACACACACACACACACACACACACACACACACACACACAGAGTATATATATATAATTTAATTGCCTTAAACTCTTAATAGCATTTTAACATCACCTAAAAATTATCTGTCAAAAACATATTTGTATAATACTGGTACTTTAGGGTGTTATTCAGTGTGTCCTCCCCTGTTTTGCCAGATCATCTCTGCCAGCACTGGAAATGCCCAGCTCATCTTACAGACCGACAATGCAAGATTGGCTGCCGACGACTTTAGAATGAAGTGAGTTGAATAAAAGATAGATTAATGGAAACTGACATGTCCCACCATTTCTTCCTATCCCCTATTTTCCTGCCTTCACTGATGGCAAATATTTCAAACTTTCTGCAGTTCACCTGCCCCATACAGTCAGTGTTCTGGTAAATTTACACTGGGCATTCTAGAAAGTAACTAGATTCAAATACAACTCGCACATTACATGTCCTGAAGTATAAGTTGCTTAAACGTAGGGCTATGGATTAATTTCATGTCCCTACACGAGTAATGTGCTCTTGACTCATGATGTGACACAATAATTCCACCGATATCCTAAAGCTCCACCTTCCATGTATCAAAATGAATTAATAATGTTTTTGCCCAGGAGTTAAATGAAATGATCTTTTTCCTGATGACACATACACCTAAAATATTAACCATGCCCTCATTTTTATATTCTCTCCTTCCCCCTACTCCACCCTCTGGACATAAAGAAGAAATACTAATGTCCATTTTGCTCCACAAAATTTTCACACAGAATGTTGCGGTGGTGATGATCCTGAACATGTAAAATCCTGGTAAAAGCTACTAAAGAAGTATCAATGTTTTAAATTAAATCATGAGTAAAAGTTAAGCAAAAAAAAAAAAAAGACTAGTTATTATTTTATTTTCAACTGCTTTTAGGATTCTGTCTGAAACTCCTTGAGAGGTGCTGCTACTGTTCATAGCCAGGGCAGCCGGCCAAGGGGGAAATTGTTCCCTGGGATGCAGTGCTAATGGGGTTCATTGCTGAGAGAAAAGCATCACCTCATAATTTTTCAATTCTCTCCAACTGAGCATTAAACTATCATAAAAAGGGGACGGAACAGTTATTAAAGCGAAAACAGCATCATACATTGCAATGCTGCCATTTTAAAATAGTCGCACAGATTTATGCACAAAATAGCTCTGAAGAATGCAGGCACCTTATTCACAGGGGTGTGTTGATTCCCTAAACTGTTCTGCACTTGGTTTTCAGGTATGAGAATGAGCTTGCCCTGCGCCAGAGCGTGGAGGCCGACATCAACGGCCTGCGCCGGGTGCTGGATGAGCTGACCCTGGCCAAGGCCGACCTGGAGATGCAGATCGAGAGCCTAGTGGAAGAGCTGGCCTACCTGCGGAAGAACCACGAGGAGGTCAGCCACAAAGGGCTGCTTTAGTTTCAAATTTACAAATCTGGAATTAGATCAGATATGGAGAATACATATTTCCCTGTTAAAATGGCCATTTTAATTTCTTGTGTGTGTGCGCGCTCGCGTGTGTGTGTGTGTGTGTGTGTGTGTGTGTGTGTGTTATGTACCAGCTGCTGGTGGTAGTATTGATAGTAGTTCCTGTTAAAGTTTATCCAATAAAAGGCACTTTCTGATTTGGTCATTTTCATCATTATGTAAGGACAGTAAGAATTTTAATTATCCTGATCTAGTGATAGAATTTGTTTTTTTACAGTTAAAAAACAAATTCTATCAATAATACATAACGTTATATATGTCAAGAAAGCGGCATTACCCTGTGTGATACACACAGAGAACTCTGATATGCCACAATGCCTATCAGCACCTGGTAGGTAGCATGGGCCTTAGTCATGACTCTAGCAATAGGCTTCTAAGGAGGTTTCTACTGGAAATCAATGACTGTGATAGAAACGGTGTGGAAGCCGAGGTACCATCTGCTGCCCTCAGTTTGGCAGCTGTAGCTGAAACCCCAAATGTACTGTTTCCAGCAGGCCTTCCCTTCTTAGTAAGGCCCTGGTCCCCAAGAAGCAGGGCCAACTCATTCATTAGGGATGGCAGGCACAGCACCTGGAGCCCATGGTAATTTTAGGGGCCCAGGAAAATGTCTTCAGTTCTTTTAAAATCAAAAGAGAAATATTAGTTTTGGGGTTAAAAATGTTTTAATATATTGTATTAATATGTGTGACTTATACTAACTCAGTCATAAAATACAATGTGTAATACTTGTTATAGAAGACGAGGCCCACAAAATCATAACAGCCCCCTGCACTCCTCTCTCACTTGCTGCCCCCAGGAGCTCCAAAGCTTCCAGTCTGACGGCCCCGCCCAGGTCAGTGTAGAAATGAATGCTGCCCCAGGAGTGGACCTCACCAGGCTCCTCAACAACATGAGGGCACAGTATGAAGCGATCGCTGAGCAGCACCGTAAGGACGCGGAAGCCTGGTTCATTGAAAAGGTACCACTAACGAAAACAAAAGGCCTTGTTTGAGACATTAGCAGAAAAGCACTCACTCGTGTCCTCTGGCTCCTCTTTTCTGTGGCAGAGCGGGGAGCTCGAGAAGGAGATCAGCACCAACACTGAGCAGCTTCAGTCCAGCAAGAGCGAGATCACCGACTTGAGACGCGCCTTTCAAAACCTGGAGATGGAGCTCCAGTCCCACCTCGCCATGGTAGGGCCCGCGCAGAGACGCAGCATCGTTTCGACTTCCAAAGAAAATGTTGCATCCAACTTATGTTAGGCCTTTGGCTGCCTTCCTTATTCAGCCCCCTCCATTGTTATGTCTGTGCCATTTCTCTCCCACATGCAGAAGACATCTCTGGAGGACTCCTTGGCCCGAACCGAGGGGGACTACTGCGGCCAGCTGTCCCAGGTGCAACAGCTCATCCGCAGCCTGGAGGAGCAACTGCTCCAGGTGCGCAGGGACACAGAGTGCCAGAACGCCAACCACCAGCGACTGCTGAACGTCAAGGCCAGCCTGGAGCTGGAGATCGAGACCTACCGAGACCTGCTGGATGGCGAAGCCCAAGGGTGAATAGATAACTGAGGGTGAAATAACCTCAGTGGCTGACCAACCCCCCAATGGAGTTGGGGGGGGGGGCAGTGGAAGAAAGGGTTTTTTAGTTGACAAAAAATAACAAATCTAGTAAAAACAAGTCTTGGGTTTATTAAGCACTCTACACTTTGCAAAGTGTTGTCACCCATTGTCTTACTTGATAATAATTCATAAAATGCTGGGATGAACAATGGCACCAGAGACAGAGGCATACTGCAAAGGAGCACTAGAAAATCACCCACTTGAGTTCTAATACCAGTCTCTGGGTACTAAGAATGATACTTAAAATAATAGCCATCTGAACCACCTCAGACCTACTGTAGCAACCTTTCTAAAAGTAATAGGAGCTTGGTCCACTGGGAAGAACTCAGGGCTATAAATCAGAAAATCCAACTCTGAGACCAGATCCTCCATTAATGGCCACTTTGCTTCACCGTGAGATCCAGATTTTGGCAGGGTTTGAAAAGGTGCACTGTACAGACTGATTACTCTCAGGGTGAGTCATTCAATCACTCTTTTATTTTTTTCAGTTATAATACTAGGACATTGCTTTTTTTTGCCAATTGAGGTCTTTAATTTAAATTTTATTTTTCAGTTATTGGTTATATTCAATATTATTTTGTATTGGTTTCAGGTGTGTAGCATAGTAGTTAGACAATCATACTTTACAAAGCATTTCCCCTAATATTTCCAGTACCCACCTGGCACCGTACATGGTTATTATAATATTATCATTCAATTATTCTTGATCAAGAAATTTGGAACCCCTTCCTTATTTGTCTATAGTTTTAGGTACATTTCCAATTTTTAGTCCAAATAGTAAACTCCTGATTTCTCCTCATTCCAGAAAGCATGATGTGATATCATTTCCCTCATTTTCTCTACAGTGATGGTGTGGATGAAACTTCATCTGTGACTGACTCCAAATCTCAAGCACAGTCCACTGATTCTGCTAAAGGTATGCAGATTCCCTAAGAATCACTTAGAATAAGTCACAGTCATATTTGTTACTGACTAAAACTATAAGATATCATTGAATACTGCAGCATTAATAATTTAAAATATATTTATATACTGAGCAAAGGAAAAACATTTATGCATCCCTGCAGAAAAATGAGTAGTCTGTAATGTATTAAAATGTCTTGTAAGCCCAGGAAGAAAAAAATTCTACTCTGCAAAGAAGTATTATGAGCACCATAACTATACTTAAATGCTTAAATATATTTTCATTTGTGCATAGGACAACACTGAACGCATTTCCTTTTCATTGAATAAAATACATTTTTTAGAATGTGAAAATCACTTTTGAAAGTTTAAATTTGATGGGTTTTATCAGTCAATACCTAATATAGAAGGTTAAGTTAAATAACAACCAATTTTAGGTGAATATTTGAAACACTAACTTTTGCCCCCTTTGTTCCCACTTTATCTTTAGACTCTCCCAAACCCCGAAAAATCAAAACAGTTATCCAGACCGTGGTGAACGAGGAGATGGTCTCATCTCAAGTTCAGGAATTTGAAGCACTAATATAAAATTTCACAAGATCTGCCCCATGATTGCTTCCTTAGGCACAAGAAATTTACAAAAAGAAATTATTCCTTTCAGAGTAAGATGCTATATTAGGTCAAGCTCTATTTTTGTTTCATTTTCTTTAGATTCCTATTCACGTTGAGTCCTTTCTGCCATGCCGAAACAATACTCAACTATGAGTCATTGTGGCCATGTTGGTGTTTATAACAAACCAAAATTGCCTTATAAATTTCTGGACCTGGAGTAGTCTTTTAATAGAGTTCTAGTGACCTGGAACATGTTCTTAATCATAGGGCTTTGATCAAGTAGTACTGTCTTAATAAAATTAATTTTAAAAGATTAATGGTAATAGTGTGAAATCTGTATCTTCTTGATTCCAGCAATAATGTCAAGGGCATAGAGGTCTGTGAAATATTAATAAGAAAAGTAGATAAACAGTGGGATAAACATGTCAAGGTTTGAGATTAAGTTAAGAGGTTCCTTTTTGAAGTCCTTTCCTTTGTACATTATCCCATCAAGTTCACAGCAAAATTCTATTGTCCACTCTCGGGCATTAACAGTTGTCCTGTTAATTTTCTAGAACCTTCTTTCATTCAATTAAGAAACACTTACTGACCCCTTACAGTGTGCCAGACTAGAGACTCTTCTAGGAGTGGCGATACAATGAGATAGGGCAAATAGAAGTTCAAAGGACACATGGAGGAGAAAGTGAACAATATGTCAGGGGACAACTAAATGTTTCATATAGAACTCAACCAGGCAGAGGAAGGAGAATGGGAACAGAGGAAACACATTGTTCACAATGCATTGCTGTGTGTGAACAAGCATTGCTGTAATGCCCTTTCTCCTATCTGATACCAGTGACACCAAGGCTGGGGCTTCTATTGGGCTGGGTCAGACACATAAGTCAATAACAGATGTCATATGCTGGGTTGGAGCAGAAGGCAGCCAAAGTCTAAGCCTGAGTAGATGGTGGTTCAATCTGGGTGGACAGATTCAAAACCGGAAAAAAAACAAGAGCAGGATTTAACGATTCAGAACCCGGGCTCTGAAGCCAGACTGGGTTCAAATTCTGGCTTTTGCTACATAGCAGCTAGTTAACAATCCCTGTGTGCCTCGCGTTCCTGATCTTTAAAGCGGGGTGGGAAAGATTAAATAAGATAACATACATAAAACACTAGGAACAGATCCTGGTGCCTAGCAAGTACTCAATATTTGCGTCCTGTTATTATTTGCTGTACAGAACCAAAATGGGATGGAGAACGCAGGGGAAGTGATGAGCGAGGAGTGTGAAAGGGAGAAGAAGGGAGAGGGGGGATCATGCAAGCCTGGAGGAATTCCAGTGCTGAGTGCAAAAGCCCATGGAAAGTTATCATGCCATTTTAAGATGACCTGCTTCAGCATGCAGCTTTCTGAAGTCACACTGGCTTTTAATATTTGCTAGTGTTTTGGGGTACTCCATTCATCTCGTTTGGTTACACATAGCAATTCAACTCTCTGTCTTGCCCTCGCCTTCCAGAATGTGTCCTAGGACAACCATACTTTTCAGACCCAAAGAGATTATTGAGGTCTTTTCCTGAACAAGGTCCATAGCCCACAAATAACAAGTAATGTCATTTTTCTAGTACTCGGAGTGGCTGCAAATAGTTTTACATAACATCTGTTTTCCTTACAACTACATCTGAATTCTGTGAGATTCAAAGGAAAAAGGGATTTTGCACAAGTATTAATCTGGTGGTTATTTCTTAGCTATTAACTTAGTTTCTCAACATTCCCTTCCATTGGAAGTATTTTCTTCACTGGGCTCCCAGAGACATCATCTCACTGGAAGCTTTTTCTCAGACTCTTCTTTGTGACCTCTGAATGTTGGCCCAATCCTCTTGTCTCCTCTCTCGACACTCTCTCCCTCGGTAACCTCATCTACTGTCATGGCTTTAAAGTAATGCTCAATGGATGAATGTTAGCTGGACATATTGTGATCATTTCGTATTATATAAAAATATAGAATCATTATGTTGTAATTAATACAATGTTGTATATCAATTATACCTCAATTAAAAATTAAAAAAAAGAAAGTGGCCCTAACCGGTTTGGCTCAGTGAATAGAACGTCGGCCTAATGTTGTATATCAATTATACCTCAATTAAAAATAAAAAAAGAAAGTGGCCCTAACCGGTTTGGCTCAGTGGATAGAACGTCAGCCTGTGGACTGAAGGGTCCCAGGTTCAATTCCAGTCAAGGGCATGTACGTTGGTTGCGGGCACATCCCCAGTAGGAGGTGTGCAAGAGGCAGCTGATCGATGTTTCTCTCTCACCGATGTTTCTAACTCTCTATCCCTCTCCCTTCCTCTCTGTAAAAAATCAATAAAATATTTTTTTTAAAAGGAAGTGACCATCTGTGCATTGATTAGTTCTTGTGGTAGCTTCCAAGATGGTTCCAATGATCCTCACCTCATGGTGCTCATGCCCCTGTGCATAGTCCCCTCCCACAATGAACAGAGTAGACTTATTGAACAAGTGACAATGTGTGACCTTCAACATTAGGTCACAAAAGCATTTCAGTTCTGGCTTGGTCATTAGATTGGTCACTCTGCGAGCAATCAGTTGCCCTTACGTTTATTCTATGGGGGAGGAGGACTATCTCAAAAAAAAGTCAGGGATTTCACAAAGTTCCCCATCCAAAATCACTGTCTTATTCTGATAATATCTCGGTGAAAATATTCTACAGTCTTCGGTTGGCAAAGGAGGCATCATATTTCTTATTACAGGTACTTTGCCCTACTCTCACTGCCAAGAAATATAATTAGCACAGCATCCTTTTCATGAGATTCCAGCCCTCATTCACAAGACCACAAGCCCTATTTCAATACAGACATGAAATATCCTTTTGGACTTAGTTATTAATGCATTGCATAAGTGAGAGGTCTGTCTTTAAAGAAAGAAATTCATAAAGAGAGAAAAAACTACAGGATCAGACAACAAAAGACAAACATTACTTAGGATTATTTTAAAATCTGAAACTTTACTAATATAAATGTTATGCATGTGTTGTGTACAGGCTAGGAAAAAAAGTCTGGAAAATACTGTTTATACTAACCTATTATAGTGGTTATCCTTTGGGGATTCGCAGTTTGAATACAAGGTGTGTGACCAAAAAAAATGTATACACACTTTAACAGCTGACAGCTCAATTTTGGAAATGAAATGTATTTTAATAAACACTGCATTTATAATTATTCAAAGTGTGTATACATTTTGGGGGAACACCCTGTATTTTGTATTTTCTATTGAACATTTTGTAAATGCTTAACAAACCACATGTATAACTTTGATAATTGGGGAGGGGATGAATTTTAGCTATCCAGAACAAATGAGTTTGCAAGTAGGTCACAATCTACAAACCAACCATCCATCGCCAAAGCAATCACTTTTTTGGGTTTTGCAAGAGTGCCACCTACTGGAATTTTAAGAAATAAACTTTTTAAAAACTGCCTCATTCACTGCTGGTGGTAATGTAAACTAACTAGTACAGTCACTATGGAAAACAGTATGGAGGTTCCTCAAAAAATTAAGAATAGAGTTATCATATGACCCAGCAACCCCTCTTCCAGATATCTACCTGAAAGTTTTGAAAACATTTATTTGCAGGGATATATGCACCCCTATGTTCACTGCAGCATTTTTCACCGTGACCAAGATGTGCCTGGGGTTGCAGACTAAATCCCCAGTAGGGGGCATGCAGGAGGCAGCTGATCAGTGATTCTCTCTCATCATTCATGTTTCTCTCTCTCTCTCTTTCACTCTGAAATCTATAAAAAATTTTAAAAAGCTATGGCTGCAAGCCTGGCTGCTGTGGCTCAGTGGTTGAGTGCTGACCTATGAACCAGCAGGTCATGGTTCGATTCCCAATCCAGGCACATGCCAGGGTTGCAGGCTCGATCCTCAGTGTGGGGTGTGCTGGAGGCGGCCAGTCAATGATTCTCTCTCATCTAAATCTCTCTCCCTCACCCTTCCTCTCTGAAATCAATAAAAATATTTTTTTTAAAAGCTAAGGCTGCAACATTTTTATTAAAGGATTTATGATGACCAGAATTCACAGTTGAAAAATAATCATCAAGAGAATAGATAAATTATGGTATATCCACACAACAGAATAATACAACATACTGATAAAAAAGGATGGAACTACTAACGCAAAAACACATGGATTAATTTCAAGACCATTATGCTGAACAATGGAAGTCAGACTCACAATAATATATACTGTATGATTCAATTTATATGAAATGCTGGGGGGGGATCTAATCTGTAGTGACAGAAAGCAGACTGGTGGAGAAGTAGGGATTAACTGGTTAACTGGGAAGAGTCACAGGAGAAACTTTAGAACTGATGAAAATGTTCTGTATCTTGATTATGGTAATGGTTACATGGGTATATCCATTTGTCAAAATTCTTCAAACTGTACACTTAAGACAGGTATATTTATTATATGTAAACCATACATCATAAAGTTAAATTTAAAAGGATAATAATAATAACTCAATAGTCTTTCTTCAAGGTGATGCTGCGTTGAAAGCACAAAAAGGCCAGGTAGGATAATCAACCGTGTGCTAGGATGGGCTTGCGCCTGCTCTTCAGTGATAACTGACAGATATTCAGGAATTTTTTCAATCTGGCTATCAAGCCATTGGTAGCTTGGCATTGGCCGTGATGGGAATATTTACACTATGGAACTTGGGCTCTACATACATATTTCCCCGGAGAACGGGTTCACACCAGCACACCACTGAGCACAGCAGTTAACACAGATACAGAGGCTGATTGCCTTGGTTTGGAATCCAGCTCTTCTGCTTTCTAGTGGTTTTATTTATCCCTCTGTTCTTCAGTTCAAACTAAATGGACTGTGAATTTTAGCTGCTGAGAAAAATCGTGGAAACAGCCCTTAGGTGCAGACCTTTGCATAAATCATACTAATAGAACAGTCCACAGAGAGTTAGTAAGATCTAATAGATAGAAACTAGATGGTATTTCAGGCTTTGCTCAGTGAGTCATCATTTTACTCATAACAAGTTACTCAACTTGAAATGATTCATCTTTTACAAAAGACAATAATATGTCTAATCACATTAGCTCCACATTTTAGGATCCTCATTAAAAACACCATAAACACAGGGCACTATGAACCTGTCTGGTCCAAATATGTTCATTAGAGTTATCAGCTTGGAGCCCACCTCCTACAGTTATACAGACATGCAGTTTCTGCTGAGAAAAGTATGTCCATTTTAAAAAATTTATTTGCAAATACCATGGGATTTTTTTTTAATCACTTAAGGCTGCAACTTC